TCTGGGTGGCTCAGTCGATTGGGCATCTGACTTCGACTCAGGTCATGATCTCACAGTTTGTGGGTTTGAGCCCCGCATCAGGCTCTGTGCTGACAGCTGGGAGCCTGGGGCCTGCTTTGTGGAGTCTGTGTCTCCCTCTCTCTCTGTTCCTCCCCAACTTGTCCTCTGTCTTTCTCTCTCTCAAAAATAAGAAAGCATTAAAAAATATTAAAAAAACAAAGTAACTTAATATTAATGACAAGTACACTTGTGCCTAGGAAGAATGGGTCTGGATGATCTCTCAAAGAACCCCACTCTGGATTTTCCACTCACGCCTCCTTCCCTATTGAAACAAGACAAACGCTTAACTGACTCTTTGCTATTTTCTAGACTTTAAAAAAATTATAACATATAAAACAAGTTGACACATAAGTTTTCCCCGGGGTCCCAAAATTTTTGTCATAAGAATCAAGTGACTAAGCAATGAACCTGGGATTCTGTAGTAATTCTGGAAGCAACAAGTGACTAACTACTGAAAGGGATTTTAAAGCCTTAGAGTGATGAATTTTCATCCTTATAGTCAATAAAATATCAGAATTCAATCTGATCTCACCAATTCGGAAAGTTTAATTCAATGTAAGTTTTCTGAGCCTCTCTGGTAATAGTAGAAAAAAAATTGCTTACTATAGGGGCTTTTAACATCTCAAAAAAAAAAAAAAAAAACCCACCAAAGTACAAAGTATACAACTTCCTACCATTATCCAAAAACATCTGTCCCACTAAAAAGAAAAGCAGGAGTGAAAGAACCGAGGGTTTGGTTCAGGCTATGTCCCTAATCAATTAACATGTGATCTTGGCAAAAAACAAAAACAAAAACAAAAAAAACCTTAGATTCTATGGCTATAAAATGATAAATCTACCAGCTTCCACACTGCTTATTACATCATACGGTTTCTAGTGAAGATCCAATTAGATAACCTGTTTGGAAAACTATGAAGGCCTAACAGACACATATATGGAACCATTATCATGCTAATTACCATGTAAAAGGAAACTATTAATCCGCAAATTCCGCCATTCCACAGAGCCACAAAATTGTACCTAAAGAACAACCATATTGCTGTGTTGTTCATCTTTATTACCTACCTTCACACAGTCCATTCTCCAAAAGTCTATATAATGGCATGTAAAGATGAACTAGCAGAAGAATAAATGTGGCAAAGTAGATAACAAGAATTAGGCCATTTAAAATCTTTCCTAAATAAAGAGTGCCTGCCCTAAACTCCATGATTCCCAACAAATCCTCTGAAATCTTTAATTTCATGATTTCAGATGCTTAATTAAAGCATTCTTTTCCTTAACATTTAAGACACAGGAATATTTTTCATCTTTGTGACTTTCTATTTACTATACCATCATCACTTTTTACCAGATCATTCCAACTGGGCTTAACACTGCTCCCTAGTGCTTTTCCTATGACTAAGAAGCAATTTCCTACATATCCTTATTGGGCTGCAGAAAGCTGTGTATGGTTCCTAAATAACTGAATTCTCCCTTAACTGTCACAGTTCTCAGTTCTTGACAGATAGTCTGGTTTCTATGCTATGTAAGACAGGTTCCTGGCTGCCACTATAAGTTGTATGAATATAGCTAGACAAGTCACTTGTGGTGACTTGGGACTCTGCTTCCATATTTATAAAAGTGATAACTACATTAACTTTAAGGATCTTTCAGGTTGATCTTTCTCTTCAGATCAAATACATCAATGCTGTGACTAAGGGACCCCCAGAGAACAATCCCTTCATAGTTACAGCTTCCATATATTCAAAACTTTTCTCATTTCTGCCCTAGTCCTCAAAGGATAATCATAGCTACTGTCAAAGAGATAAGAAATATTTTAACAGCATAATTAAAACCTACAGTTTTAGAGTCACTGGATTCTAGAAAGGAATCGAATCAGAGGATAACTGAAAGCCACATACAAAAAAAAATAGATTACACATGAATGTCCTATTTCCAAAAATTAGTCTAATTTCTTACCAGGTTATCTCCTGTGGTGGGGATCAATCTCAGTACACCTAACTTCTGTCATTTTTAACTTAAAATACCAGAAATGTCAAATTAGCTTTGGTACATCACTCATTTGCAGTCAATTCCAGGGATGTTGAATTAAGAGGCCTGAACAGAGTTGGGGGAGGGGAGCAGAATAGGGATGTGGTAGCAAAGGAAGAGCCTCGATGGAAGGGTTTCACTTTCAGGTAAGATTTCACCCAAATAGTTAACTTATATAATGTTTGAAAACCAGAAATTCAGTAACGAATGATCCACTCAAAAACTATATGCAAGAACCTTTGCTAGGCACATAGAGGAGATCCACAGATAAATTCAGGGAATTGAAGAGACTATTAGTAAGTATTCTAATCCAGTAACACCTGACTTTGCTTGGCATGGATGTGAGTAGCCTGCCATCCCTCAACTGGATTCTCTACAGCACCTGGTCTCCAGTGTAGTCTGAAAACACAGTATTAAAAGAAATACATCCAAACATTAATACTTAGGAAATATGCTGCCTCATGAGTGATACAGAATGACTTAGGAATTCAGAGGCTGACTATCCAGGGACTAATTCCCCATCTGGCTTTAGCAATCAGTGAAGACTTACTGGGATTAGTTTTGAGCAGGGTCTTGAAAGATAAGAATGAATCTGTTTTAGTTTACCTGTTGGCCCTCAGAATATATGTTTTATTTATATATGAGCATCACTTATTGGAGAAGCATGCTCTGAAATAAGGGCAAGGATCACCATCAGGAAGCATGCAGAACATCAAGTTACCAGTTAACTGCAGTCTGCAACAGCCCTTCTTCACTCATGTGATTTCCATGGTCTCAGGCATTACATTAGTGCTCATCCAACTACAAAGTTTATTTTTGTTACAATAACCACTAGTGTTTTATAGATGTGCTATAGAAGTGGGAGGAAACAAAAGAGCTTCTTTAAAGTGAAAAAGGAAAACATACAGGGAGTCTCCCAGATATGCCTTCTGTGAAATACCATCATCCAATGCAAATGGCTATTCCCTTCCAGTTGTCTAATTTTACCTTCCTCCAATTCCATCTTGCATCTGATGAGCACAAATGACTATAGGTTGGGATAATACACATTGCGATGATTTCCGTTATGACCTCATGGGGAAACTGCTTTGAAATGTGACTTTAGATTATTAACACTTACATAAACACAAAGCTATTATACATGTCTGGGGTTCCGGTAAATGCAAAAGGTAAATGTTAAAAGATTAGTAAAAGTCTCTATCCTTGAACCCTACAAGAACCAAAATTGTTTCCAGTCACTTTTAAACAAAAAAATTTTTAAAAAGAAAAATACAAAGCTTTGGAATGCCATATGACCCATTTTAAATATATATTTTGTAGTAACACCTACAATCACAAAGGCTTAGAATGTAAAGAACTTTACACATTTTATTGCACCCTCCAATTTTAAATAATATGCAAATCCTACTTTTGTTGTAATACAGTGCACCCTCATTCATTCTAAAAAAGAAACGACAGTAACAGCACTGTTAAAGGACAGTTATTTGAAATGAAAATACAAAGAAAGCCCAACCCAAATAAAGGACACATCGCCTTCCCACTAGTGTTACTGGTAACTTCTAAAGCTCTAAGCGGTGTAATTTACCTTTTCACATACAGGGTAATGATGCTTCTGGTTGTTAAGGCAAATTATCTCAAGTACGAGGGAAAAAAACCCATTAGCTATATAGGGCCTACCAATATATCACACAAAGTAAAAGCAAAGTCAGTCTAGCTTCACATAACTTGGTCAAACTTGCTAGAAACCAAGAGGGGGTGAATGTGAGAGCAACCTTACTACTGGCTAGACTAAAGAATAATAAGCCATAAATAAAGGCTTATGAGCAAAAGGGAAATAGAGTCAAGAACACCACACATCTCCATTACACATCTCTAGCTCCTTTCAATATTCGCACTGAAAGAAAATTCTACTTCTCTCTCCATGCGTGTTTTTCTCCTTTACAATATAAATTATTTCCAAGCCTGGCTGGCACCTCACTCCACACCCCAAGCCAATGACATAAAACATTTTTTCCAAGTAGAACCTATAGAGAGATACATAAGCCCAAGGATTTTTTTCTTTTGAATTCGGCATGTATGTTCACCTCATCTAACACTTTCCTCTTGGCTACCTCTCTAGAGAGTGTGAAAATATCAACATCCGGTGGCCCACCCCCACCCTCTCAGTAATGCATCGCAGAGCTTAGGCTCATCCCTCTCCTTCCCTTTCAGTCTCATCACCTCTGAGAAGCTCATCGAACACCACTTCCCACTGCCCCCCCCCCCAACATATTCATGGCCGAGCACGACGTTCTCGGCATCCTTCTTCCAAGGAAAGGACTAGCAAAAAAATGAAAGGCATGCTCGAGAAGCGAAAGCCGAAGAAGCCTGCCCAGCTTCGGGGCTAGCCTTTCCCCACCCGCCTCGGGCCGGTAGTCGGTTCTCTAAATCCTGAAACCAAAGGTCTCCACGCTCTCCCCACCGCCAACCCCCTCAGAGATACTGCCGGAAAATGAAAAGGGCCGGGTGAAACGCGAGGCTGGGTCCTCCCTACAGAAGCCCGTTGGCCCCGGCCCCCCGGGCTGGAGTCCCCGGGGAGGATGGAGATCGCGCGGAGAGCGCCGCCTCCCCCCCCACCCCCCACCGCCAGTCCCGGGACCCTCCGCCTCACGCGCTCGAACCCCACAGATGGGCCCGCGACACCCAGGCCCTTTGCCGGCAACCCCTCCCCGCCCCCCACACTGCAGCGGCACCCGGGGCGGACCCCACGCCGGCCTCCCTCGCACACACGCCACACACAAAAGCGCCGCGGCCGCCGCCTTCCCGCCCCCACAGCCCGGCGGAGCAATCAATGAGGCGGCCAACCCCGCGTCCCCTCCGTGAACGCTCGAATGCGGGGCCCGACCGGCAGGGGCGGCGGCGAGGCTCACCATCGCTCCGCTTGATCTCCACGTAAATCCCGATCTGTATCTTGCCGAAGTTGGCCGTTGCCATCACCTCATCTGGAGCAGCGGCGGCGGGCCGAGGGAGGGGGACGGGAGGGCGGAAAAGGCGGGGAGGGGGCGGGGTAGGTGTGGGAGGGGGAGCGGTTGCCCGCGGCCGCGCCGGCCCGGGCGACAGCGTGAACGCGAGACGGGGCCGCGAGGAGCAGCGGCGGGGAAGCAGGCGGAGGCCCCGGGCCTGCAGGCCGGCGGGAGGACGCGCACGCCGGGGCGTCGGGGTGAAGCGAGGGCCGGGGCCGTCAGGCGGCGCGGGGGAGAGTGGGAGGGCCCGCGCCGCCCGCCCAGGAGCCGACGCTGGGGAGGCGGGGCGCCGCGCGCCTGCGCAGAGCACGCCTCTCGCGTCTCTTCCTCCTTGGCCAGCCTTTCCCTGCTGCCTTCAGGCGCCCCCAGCGCAGCTTTGCGGCCGGGTGGGAGGGCGTCGGCCTTGGCTTGGCCGGCCCTGGAAGCGGAGCGCGCGCGGCGCGGTCTCCGAAGAGCCAGGATCGAGTTTGATTTCGGCGCGCGGCCTGGAAGAGGCGGGAACCCGTGTGCTAGTGCCTTCCTGTCTCTCTGGCTTCCATGACTTGGCCCCGTGGCCGGAATGAATTAAGGGCCCTGTGGTTTCTGGGCTTTCTGAGTGTATTGTAGGGCTGAGGGATGTGAATTTAGGGACCGGCCGTTGACAGCACGGGCGTAAGTGTATCATCTGAGTGTCATCTGTATGGCCACGTAGAGGTGGCTGGCCCAAGTAAGGTTTCCCATCTAGTTATGGTAAAGGGGAAGAAAAACCTTTGCGGTGTCACCCACCCTAAATCAGAATGAAGATCCGCTTCTTCATGGCCTTGCCTTATAAGCTAGCTCATCGCCGTTCAAAAATAAACCCAGCCGCCTTGACTATTCCCCTTATGGTGCATCTGAAGCAGGTGTCCAGTCTCTGCTGTGGGTAGGATTCAAGACTATTTGCTCTGGCCAATAAAGCCAATAACTATAATTCAAGGACAGAGGGCAGACACAGAAGGTTGACTAAGGAATGTGCCTTTTCTGCAGAGTCACTTGACTAGTCTGACCACATCAACATGTGAAGAGAAAGACTCCCCACCCTGGGAGAGCACGAAGGCTATGTGGACCTGGGATAAAGAAATTGTTTGCAGCACCGCGTACAAACCTCCAACCTGTGACTTTAGCGTCTAGTGTTGGGACGTGTTATGGAGGAAAACACACTTGCCTTACTTTCTCAAGTCATTGTTAATCTCTCTGTAATAATAACAAAATATACAGTTTAAAACTTCTTTAACTGGAAGCTGAATATGTATGTTAAGTGCCTATGTGCATATATGCACATACCTAGAATTTTCAACCAATGTAAATAATCAGGTTAAATAGACCCTAAAGTTTCTTAAATTCATTTTAAAGTAGGAGTAATTTCTATGAAAAAATAATAATACTGGGTAGACAACTTAGAAAATAATATCTGCTTTAACATTCCAAAAATGGCATTACTGTATATCTCACTTCAGGACCTCTGTTTCAAAATAAGCTGACCAAATCAAGATTTGGTTGTTTTTTGTTCTTTGTTTTAAATAATCTTAAGAGTGGTATCTGAACTCTTTGGGTTCTGTCTAGTAGAACTCATTCTCTGATGTCTCGATGAGGTGTAAAACACCTATTTATTTGCTTGCAAATGCTTTACAGAATGCAAAGGAATCAAGCTATCCAGCTTTTAAATTTAAAATTGCTTCATAAAATATGTTTTATCATGGTTGCTGACACATACCTTGTACCCTGTGGGTTATGTAATTAAGAAGTCTAAACCTTTAATCCATATACAAAGGTATTTTAAAAATAGGTACATCATCCTGCTCCATAAAAAAAAAAAAATGTATGAGACATGCCACATGTTGAATATAAAAACTTTTAGTTTGTAGGTCATATCCAAAAGGCTTATGTTTTTTGGTACATCCCAGCGTATGTATTTACCAAGACTTGCATCTTGGGCTTTGTGTGAAAGTAGCCTCCTAAAGAACAGTCATAAATAAATGCAACATAGCTACGTTTCCATAAACATCCTAGATCAAGAATTCTGACTCTGGCTCAGGCATAAGCAAAATGTATAACCCTAATGAGAACAGTAACTGGCACATGGTAGACACTGACATTGGTTCAATAAGTTGACTTGTTAAACTGCTCTGAATCTGTTACCTCTTAGAACAACCTGGAAAAGTATTCTCTCAACTGCAGAACGTTTTCGTGACGGTCAAATAAAATCACAAAACATGACAGTGCTTTGACATTTATAAAGTACAATACAAGTTTAAAAACATAGTAAGACCATCCTATAAAAAATAAACCACTACTCTACTATGATCCTCAAGTCACTAATTAGAATTTTATGTCCAGTGATATAAAATTAAACACAGTTGGCATCGGCTCTCACCTTCATCACCTCACATTTGGCAGGAGAGCATTAGCTTTATAGATCTGTCTATACTCTTTTACCCACTCCAGTCCATCCTACCTTAACTGGCAGAGTAACTTGCTCAATAATCATTTCTGTCAAGTCATAACCTAACAGGAGTGGCTGCTGTTGACCTATTCTACCCGAGTTGATACACTTTTTTTAAAAAAGTCCAGCGAAAGCAATCTCCTTATTATGCTTGGATTTCTTTTAAAAATTTCTCTGCCTTGGGGTCATTAGTACACACACTTTAAGAGATTATTCTCTTAAACTAGTGAGATTTGAGGTGGCAGCCAGCACTCACCTTAGCCAGTTACCTGCTCCTTTGTTGGAAGAGCAGAGGCACAACTTGGCTCCAGTTTTAGCTTAGATTATCCGTACTTGATTACATCTTACTTGAAATGTCCCGTTCAATATTTGCATCTATACTCAGTTATTTCCACAGTTTGCGGATGTAGGATCAAATGGAGAAAACAGGTAGTGTTGGCAGAAACTGTCTTTGATTTTGGTGCTGTCCACTTTTGCCCAAAACTTTCTTGTAGACTTTTTGGTTGTCAGTGATTCTCATTCCCCTGAATTTACTCAGATTTAAATTATAATTAAACTGGTGTAACTTCACTGTAACTCATTTTAGTCCTTATGAATACATTAAAAAACACCTGGGAGATATAAATCCCAATTTTACTTGCTCTAAAATATCATCCACTCTTTTCTCCTCCACTGGATTTCTCTCCACTGCCTGCAAACATGTTCAGGCAATTTGGGGGGGGGGGGCGGGAATCTTCTCTTGATCCTTCACTTCCTATTAAATTCCATTCTATTTTTCACTTTCCCTCCCCCGCCAAATTCTCAAATGAGTGCTCTAAATACCCACTGCCTTCATTCCCCATCACTCATTTATTTCCTAAGCCCTAAATCTGGATTCAACCCTCTACTGAATTGTATTTTTTTTTAAGTCAACAATTACCTTCTAATTACCTCATTCAGTGGATATTACTATCTTTATTTACCTTGAACTCTTTGAAGAAGGGTCTACCTACTTTCTTCCCTACAACACCTGCGCATTCCTGCCTGTTTCTGCTCCTCTGGTAAATGACTGGCCCTTCTCTTTTCTTTCCATTTAAAGCCTTTCCATCTGGCATGGCAGAGTGGAAGTCCCCTCTTCTTTATGGAGCTTTCTCTTCTCAATCTAATCTATAATGACTGTCCTCTCTGGGTGATTCTCCCCTAGTCATGATCATCAGAAGGACCTGAGAAACACTTTAAACAAATACAGAGCACAAACTTTACTCTAGGGCCTTATGGTTTAAATTCTCCAGTGGGGACCTTAATGTGGCCCACTTTGTAAATCTCATCAGAAGATACTGAGGTGTAAGTGCAACTGGTTGAGATCTATTGATTATCTTGAACCCCCATAATTTAGTATTGTCTGTACATTGACCATTTAGGGACTATGTACTGAATTGATTTTATTATTTTCCTTGTTCACCTTCATTATAATTCTTGTGCTTATACTTTTTGCTAGTGTATTGCATTGGATTAATGGTAAGCTGTTGGTGGACAGCTAATGTACAAAACCTTTTGAGGTCCATATTCAACTCAGGTCTATATAGAAATATCACATGGGCGCCTGGGTGGCTCAGTCGGTTGAGCGTCCGACTTCGGCTCAGGTCATGATCTCGCTGTCCGTGAGTTCAGGCCCCGCGTCAGGCTCTGTGCAGAGTGCTCAGAGCCTGGAGCCTGTTTCGGATTCTGTGTCTCCCTCTCTCTCTGACCCTCCCCTGTTCATGCTCTGTCTCTCTCTGTCTCAAAAATAAATGAACATTAAAAAAATAAAATAAAAAAAGAAATATCACATAATATGGTGTCATATTCAATTATTATCTACATTGAGATATTCCTAATCTTTATACTTATTATTGTAATTTTTGCTTTAATTTCAATTTACATGACTAATCCCTCTCAACCAAAGGAAGTATCGTGGCTTTCCCTTATACCAGATTTTCAGTAATTTGGTAAGTATGAACTCAGAAATAACAGGGAGTCTTTTCACCATTTGTAGTAAAGTTAAAAGTTTTTTATATTAATAAAAATCAATGCAGGAACTTAATAAAGTCTTATATATCACAGAGCATTGGTGATATAAACCAAAATGATTAATGGTGTGCTACTCATCCTCATTACATAGTTTAAAAAACTATGAGCAGTGTTAGTTTTCTCAGTGTATTCAGTCCAAATCAAGCACAACTGGAAAAAATGGATTTCACTGAAATATTCTTGTTGTTAAAAAAGAACACTTGACTTTTTTCATAATTCTTTAAGCAAATTTATAGAAGGCAAAGTTTCCAATGAATATTAAGCCCCCAAACATGTCTTATTTTCCTAATCTTTGTTAATATACACACTTACTTGTGATGGCTGTTTGAATTTCTTGTTTAAATTGAAAATGTATGTTGTATACCATCAGTGGAGCATAGCTAGGACAGAGTGAATATATTTTCCAACTGTGGAAATACACTAAAGACATCTTTACATCATATTTCTTTAATGTTTATTTCTGAGAGAGAGAGAGAGAGAGAGAGAGAGAGAGAGAGAGAGAACAAGCAGGTGAGGACGGAGACAAAGACACAGAATCTGAAGCAGGCTCCAGGCTCTGAGCTGAGCCAGATTCCAGGCTTGAACCCACAAACTGTGAGATCATGACCTGATCCAAAGTTGGACACTTAACCGAATGAGCCACCCAGGCACCCCTACATTGTCGATTTAATTTTCTGTTAAGAGATTTTTTTTGGTTTGATTCATTTGTTAGG